TAAAAACCGTAATTAAACCGTATTTTCTCTTCATTTTCAGTCTTTCATTTTTACTAAACTTTATTTTAACCGTTTTATCGGATCCGTCCATCAACACTTTCTTTTTGGATTGACCTATTCCCATGGGGAGCCCAAGATATCTAGATGATCTTTGAGGCTGAATTCCTTGAAGAATCTGACAAACGTCTCTCTAATAAGTCACTGTGGCATTTTTGCTGAAAAACACCGAGGTCTTGGCTAAGTTGACCTTCCGACCTGAAAATTCTTGATATTTGGCCAACATAGAGATTAAACCAATAGTCTGATAGACATCTACTTTGCAAAACACAATCGAATCATCGGCAAATAAAAGGTGAGTTAACACGGGAGCACCCCTAGCCACTGATAAGCCTCTAATTTTGCCCTTCTGAGCTTCAGTAGTTATTAGAGCAGGCAACAATTCAGAAATCAGAATAAAAATATAAGGAGACAGAGGGTTTCCCTGTCTTAGTCCCCTGGTTGCACTGATATTACCACTCACCTTACCATTCAAATGAACGAGAAGGACACTGAAGTGACACATTCCATGACCCATTCCACAAATCTGACAGCATATCCCATTTTCAACATAGTCAGCTTTAAGCATCTCCATTCAATTCTATCATAAGCCTTCATCATATCCAGCTTAACAACCATATAGCTATGCTTACCTAATCAATGTCTGTTCAGGAAGTGAATACCTTCCTGAGCAATAACCATATTGTCTGTTAAGATCCTACCAGATAGGAAAGCTGCTTGATTTTCACTCACACAGTCATTGATGCAATTTCTCAGTATGAATGATAAGATTTTAGAGATATCTTATACACCACATCAAATAAACTAATGGGTCTGAAATGATTGAGGGATGAATAATTAACACATTTAGGAATGAGAGTAATTAAGGTGTGATTCCATTAAGACAACAGTCTACCAGAAAGAAAAAAAAAAAACTCCCCACAACACTACATATGTCAGATTCAACTATGGGCCAAAAGTGCTGATAGAAAAGAGCTAACATACCATCGTATCCTGGGGCCTTATGTGGATTCATAGAGAAAAGAGCTGATTTAATGTCATCCTCCTCCACAGGGCCATAAATTCTAAGTTCATGGAGTCAGTGACAGTGGCCTGAATATTCTGAAGCAGTTCATCCTCTCTTGTGGAACCCTCTGAAGTGAAAAGGTGTTCATAGTAGTCAGCAACATGATGGTCTATGGCCTCTTGAGTCTCATAAATTGCATTCTGCTCATCAACCAGTCTCACAATGGTATTTTGCTTCCTTCCCTACATAATAGAATGGTATTATTATTTTTTTCAAAAATCAATTTAATATATAAAAAACTACTTACATTTGCTCACTTTTTAGTTTTATACAGTACTTGTACTATTTTTTTGTTTTTCAATTATTTGTAAATCTGAAAGCTTATGTTAGATATACATAATAATATCAAATATAATTATGTTAGCAAAAGAATAATTAAATAATATAATTGACGTTTATTAATTTATAATACTTATATAGATATATTAATAAGTTAATAATATCGAAAAGTTTTTATAACCTACTATTACCAAACATTTTCTTGAAACCGTTGATACAATCAACTGGTCATTATATATAATTATGGATTGAAAATTATATAGTTATCACAATCCATTGATCAAAACAGATATCATAATCCATCAACTACTAAACAAGGTCATATCTAAGATTGTAACCCCAAGTTTTCAACCGTGTCTTCAATCAACATGACAATATGGAATCTCTCTTAAATAGCTTTTATCTAAATTGCGTTGCACAATATTTGATGAGTCATAACACCAATCTTTACAATAATAGTAACTAGGACATAGTCAAGAAAAGGATATAACTATGGTAGAAACTTTGGAGACTGCAAATAAAACCAAAGGTGAGAAACTTTGTCTGGAGATGCATTCACAATTGGGTGGACACTAAAGTTAGGCTGTAGCAGAAAGAGGTGTTAGATGATACTATTTGTTGTTGATGTGGAGCTGAGCCAAAGGATTTGGAGCACTTGTTTTTTAATTGTGAGAGAGCACAGAAGGTGTGGAAGATTGCATGACTTCAATGGAATAACTTGAATCAGCAAAGGACTTCTTTCATCCATAAGTGGCAGGACCTTTGCAACCTGAAGAGTAGTGAAGATAACAGAGATAGGATCTCTCTCTCAACCTATCTCCTATGGTGGATGTGGAGAACAAGGAATGATTGGATATTTCACGGGAGGAATTCATCAGAAGTACAACTTGTTGAAAAAGCAAAGTTAGAGTAGTTAGAGTTTGACAATATCAAGTTTGGTCGAGTGCTCTGCAAGGAAAAAGCTGCAAAGATTTCTCCTCTTGCTAATTTTGTGGAAAATCAAGGGATAGAGAAGCTTGTTCAAGTTGTTAGTGTTTATGCTTCTCTCTTAATGGTCTGGAAAGTGCAAGGCTTTGACAACTCAAAGGTGGCAAATTGGACCAACTCCAGGGATGCATCTAAGAGGCAACCGGTGGAGGATATTCTGTTGGATATTAGAGCTTGGTCGGAGCATGGTTTGAAGATGGGCTAGGAAAGAGTGGTGCTAATATTTAATGATGAGGCACTGTAGATTTTGTTGTCACTTACACCTCTGCAGCTGGAATATTACAACTTTGGTTGCTGACATTTGTACTCTTCTTTCTCTTCACAAAATTTTTGTCTTGTGCATTTTTTGTTAGGTTGTTTCCTTACAATTTTGTTTTGGGGTTGCTGTGGCCTTAGTTCTTTGTAGTAGCTTTGATGGTTTGCGGCCTCGTTGGTCCCTTAGGTTGGCTCGTGTTGAGCCTTTCCTCTCATTTTCATAGTCTCACTTAGGCTTGATTATGGTCTCGTTGTAACCTTTTGGTTACTCGTCTAGTACATTTTGAGTTTAATTTTATGCATTCGATGTTTGAAAAAAATAAACAAATAAATAAATAAATAAATAAATTAGAAATAATCATTTTCTAGGGGTGGACGAATAATATACAGGTAACTTGAATTCAAAATGACAATAAAACAAGAAAAAAATAACATCACTAAGAAAGTCACTTTCTCTGAGCAAGCCACCAACCAGTAAAAGCAACAAAGAAGAAACTAAAATTCATCAAGCCAACATTCATAACATTCAATAGCAAATGAAGATCTCGTTATGCGCAAATCACGAATTCAATAGCAAATCGTAAACATATGTGCAACGGATCTAAAGGTTTTGCGTAGAGAACTTACGGCTTAAAATTTATGGCGATATGGTTGATCTTTTGGATGGTCGTACACAGCACATCAATGAATTGTTGACTGCAAATCGCGTCCTAGGATTGCACGAACAAGATCGGATCGAAAACCAGATCAAACGAATGCAAAATGGATGAAGACAAGTTGCAGTCCTGGGACTTTGCTACGGCGCGTGCGGGCGCGTGGGTGGTCAGACGGCTGCGATCTCGGCAACTTTGGAAAGCTCTCGTCGAGACGGTCGTCTGGGTATGCTGCCCGACTTGATCGGACCTCCGGTTAGTTCTGTACGACCAAATATATTTCGTCTCACTTTACCCAAAGATCTTCTACTATATATCTCAAACACCTCTTAATCTTGTACCAGTGGAACAACAAGAAAAAGATAAAGCTCGAATGGGAACTGAGAGAGAGAAGAGCGGCGTGGGGCGTGATTTCCAAGATGTGGAATTCTCTCTTTCTTCCCATGAGCTTAATGGTGTATATATAGAGCTACAATAGAGATCCTTAGGAGATTAGGATTAGGGTTCCTTAATTAATTAAAATACTTGTGGACCAAGCTACTTATTTTAATTAATTAAATAATATTAAATGGGTCACCAACATAATATTATTGCACTTCTTTTTCCCAGCCCAATTTACAATTGAGACTCCAATAATAATTACTCGATTTATCTCCCCATGTTTAAGATATAATGTCCATTAATTAATTCGATTACTGACAATCAAGAATTAATTAATTTATTATTATTTCACTGAAGCTAGCGCTCGTTTATCACATTATTACTATGCTAGAATTTAATCCACCTGCAGGGTTTAGCATAATAATCCTTCATGAACTTACTCTGGGGACATCATCAAACTAACGCACATGGTGACCGTAAATATCCTAACAGCACATCCTACATGTAGCAATATTACCCAAGACAGTGGGTCTATTGGCCCAATTCACTAAGCCTCACCCATGTGAATCAAAGTAATAAATACTACACATATATGTTTGTTTAATATCTTGCGGGTTAAGAGTACGCAGTAATTAACGGCCTAGTTCGTTTACGAAGATTAGTATAAAACGAATTGCTCCTCTCTGGGATCCTATTAAATACATAAATGTACTAGTGTAACTAATCAGTCAAGACAAACTGTACAGTTGACAATACAACCGTTCACGATGGGGTGTTCATGTCCATCTGGGTTGTGAACCACTTATTCTTGTTTCGCGAGTAACTGATAGCATGATCTTCGGTTCGCCCGATGACGACCCACACTATCTAATGCAATACAACAGAACGTAGAACTTGTTTAATCTAACATGTTTCTCATTCATAAAGGGTAAAAGTGGAATATCATCCAAAGCCAAGCTTTCAGTATATAACACTAACAATCTCCCACTTATACTTAAAGCTTTCGCTTTTACAAGTATAGTCCTATCAATCCGTTATTCTAAAAGACCTATGTTGATCCTATCCATGCACTTGACTCTCATTCCTGTCACGTGTTTGACGAAGACCTTCTCCGGCAAACTCTTCGTGAAAGGATCAGCTACGTTGTCCTCAGATGCAATTTTGGCAACATCAACGTCTCCTCTACCAACTATCTCTCGGATCAGATGGTACTTGCGCTCTATGTGTTTACTTGCTCTGTGGGCTCGTGGTTCCCTTGAGTTTGCTACTGCTCCACTGTTATCACAGTACACGGTGATACCACGTGACAAACTCGGAATCACCTCTAAGTCCACCAAGAAGTTTCTGAGCCAAACTGCCTCTTTCGCTGCCTCTGAGGCTGCTATGTACTCGACTTCCATGGTGGAGTCTGCCACGCATTTCTGCTTAGCACTCCTCCATGAAATGGCTCCACCTCCCAAGGTAAACACATAACCAGAGGTTGACTTACTCTCGTCCCTATCTGTTTGAAAATCAGAATCACTATAACCCAGAGGTAACAAGCTGTCTGCACGGTAAACTAACATGTACTCCTTAGTCTTTCTCAAGTACTTGAGTATATGCTTCACCGCAGACCAATGTTCCCTACCCGGATTACTTTGATATCTGGCTACTAAGCCAACGGCGTAGCTGATATCTGGCCTGGTACAAAGCATAGCATACATAAGACTTCCTACTTCCGATGCATAAGGAACTGTCTTCATGTCCTCAATCTCTTGAGGAATCTTAGGAGACATCTCCTTAGAGAGAGGAATTCCTTTCCTGAAAGGCAAGGTACCTTTCTTGGAATCCTGCATGTTGAACCTAGCCAAGACAGTATCTATGTATGATGACTGGGATAAGCACAACATTCTCTTCTTATGGTCTCGTACGACCCTAATACCAAGAATGTGTCATGCTTCTCCTAAGTCCTTCATATCAAACTGCTTAGACAACCACACCTTTACATCTGTCAACTCCTTCTTACTGTTTCCAATAAGAAGTACGTCATCCACGTACAACACAAGAAACACCACCACGCTCCCACTGATTTTCTTGTACACACAGTGCTCATCCAGACATTGAGTGAACCCGTACGACTGGATCACCTCATCGAACCGAATATTCCAAGATCTCGAAGCTTGCTTCAATCGATAAATGGACCGATTAAGCTTACACACTAGATGCTCACGTCCTTTTGCAATGAATCCCTCTGGTTGCTGCATATAGATGTCCTCCTGAAGGTTTCCGTTAAGGAAAGTTGTCTTGATATCCATCTGCTATACCTTATAATCCATATGAGCGGCTACAGCCAAGAGAATCCGAATGAACTTAAGCATAGCTACTGGCAAAAAGGTTCCATCATAGTCTATACCCTCAATCTGGGTATAACCTTTCGCAACAAGCCTAGATTTGAAGGTTTGCACCTCTCCATCCGATCCTCTCTCTCTTGTAGATCCACTTACATCCAATGGGTCGTACCCCATTGGGTGGTTCTACAAGATCTCAGACCTGATTAGAGTCTATTGACCCAATTTCAGCATTCATTGCAATATTCCATGATTCTGCATCTTTATCTTGGAGTGCCTCGTTGTAGGTTCTTGGGTCCAATTCTAGGTTTCTTGGAACTGAGCCCTCAGACTCTCCAAGATCTATCCATCGGTCGGATAATTTAGAAACCCTCCCACTACGACGAGGTACTGTCTGCACTGGTACACTCTCAGTGTGCCATCTTGCAGTATTATGTGATGTATCTACTTGCGCACTCGATGAGGAACTATCGACTTCACCCCTCAACTCCTCTAAGACTAGTCTACTCGCGAGCTTGTGATTCATAGTATAGTCTTCTTCCAAAAATCTAGCGTTCATGCTAACGATCACCTTCTGATCCTTAGGACTATAAAATAATCCACCTTTCGTTCCCTTGGGATAGCCTACAAACACTCGTGCTTCCGAATGTTTCTCCAACTTGCCAGCTTCCTGCACTAACACGTGTGCAGGACTATCCCATACTCGAAACAGTGAGAAACTGGGCTTGCGCCCTTTCCACATCTCATAAGGAATAGTTTCTACCGACTTTGAAGGAACCATGTTCAAAATATACACAGCTGTTTCTAAAGCCAATCCTCAGAACGAATCTGGTAACTTTGAATAACTCATCATCGACCTGACCATTTCCATAAGAGTCCTATTTCTTCGTTCTGCAACCCCGTTCTACTGGGGCGTGCCTGGTGCAGTCAATTGGGATTCAATCCCAGCTTCTGATAAATATGTCCTGAACTCTCCAAAGAGGTATTCGCCACCTCGATCAGATCGAAGCGACTTGATACTTTTACCATGTAGCTTCTCCACAACTGCCCGATACTCCTTGAATTTTTCAAAACATTCGGACTTGCAATGCAATAGATAAATGTACCCAAATCTCGAGTAATCATCTATAAAAGAGACAAAGTACTCGAAACCTTCTCTAGCCTGGATCGGCATAGGACCACATAAATCAGAATATATCAATCCTAGCACTTCTTGGCTCCTATACCCATTCGCCGTAAACGGCCTCTTGGCCATCTTACCTTCTAGGTATGATTCGCAAGTTGGATAGTGCTCTTCCAATGGACCGAGAAGTCCATTGGCCACTAACTTTTGAATCCTTCTTAGGTTGATGTGCCCAAGTCTAAGGTGCCAAAGATATGCTTGATTCATACTCGAAGATTCCTTCCTCTTATCAGATTTAGTCGTGACATTATTCAATTCATTTTGTTGCAGTGTGGAAGAGTTTGGTTTGAGAACATATAATTTGCCAACTAATGAACCAGAACAAATGAAACGCTTTCCATAACGAATAACAACCATGTCATCAAACGTAAACGAAAATCCATCTGAAACAAGCTTAGAAACTGAAACAAGATTCTTTCTAAAACTAGGAACATAAAGGCAATGTCTCAAAACCAAAATATTACTATCAAAAGATAAAGTAACGTCTCCCACTGCAACAGCTGCTACTTTCGTAGCATCGCCCATGTAGACGGTGATCTCTCTCACCTTAAGCCGTCTGGTTTCCTGGAACCCCTGCAACGAATTGCAGACATGATCAGTGGCTCCAGTATCTACACACAGGTTCTGGTAGATACAACCGCTAAACATGTTTCTACGACATTAACGAGAGAGTTACCTTTCTTGAGTAGAGGGCAGTCGACCTTCCAGTGTCCTGACTTGTTGCACTTCTGGCATCTACCTTTCGGCTTCTTTGCCACAGACTGAGGGAGCGGTCGCTGTACCACCGGGGCATCCTGCACCTTTGCCTTTCCTGCAGACTTCTTTCTCTTCCTTCCCTTGTGAGGCCTGGAAGGTCCAGCTTGCTCGGCAACCAGTGCGTGAGGCGCCTGAGTGAATAAGGCCTCCGCCGATTGAAGCTCTGCTAACAGTTCTGGAAGAGCCATATGCATCTTGTGCATATTGTAGTTCAACCGGAACTGATCAAAACTCTTCGGCAGAGATTGGAGCATGATATCAACTTGGGTTTCCCCGTCGATAAAACCTCTCATAACCTCAAGCTCATTGAGGAGGGCCATAACCTTGAGAGCATGCTCCCTTACGGGTGTGCCCTCTGTCATGCGCGTAGTCATCAGAGCACTAATAGCCTCTTGCCTAGCAGCCCTAGACTTGTGTCCGAACAGATTCCTGAGATTGAGAAGTATATCTGCCGCAGTGTTCATAGACTGATGTCGATGTTGAAGAATATTTGACATAGATGCCAAAATGTAACACTTCGCCATCTCATCAGCCTTTTTCCACCAGGCATACTCCCCTTTCTCCTGCTCAGGAGCATCAACCGCGGGCTCTGCCGGGCAAGCCTCAGTAATCGCAAACTTATAACCCTGAGCAGTCAACACAATGTCTAAGTTCCTCTTCTAATCAATGTAATTAGGACCAGTAAGTTGATTTTCTTTTAGAATGACAGATAACAGATTGAACGACATGATGAATATGTGAGAAACACGAAAATAATTTTACAGATTAAACACATTTGAATTTAACTGCTAATATTGATATCCTCAAAACAATATTAACTTAAATTCACCGACATCTCAAAACACCGAGAGTTAATGCATGATGCCAGAGCAACTCTACACAACTCAACATTCGCAAGAGAAGGACTTTCAAAGACCCATTAATTTCCATAAGTCAAAATCAAATTCATGACGAATGAAATTAATAGTCGGTCTCCATTTGGCCATGCAATAAATTCAGGGAGCCCGAGGGGAGTTATAAATAAATCATATTCTAAGTGAATCCCATTTCTCGATCCTGAGTTCATACGAAATCGATTATACGTCATCCGAGGGGAAGCCCGTACTCTCTCATAAGACTCCCTCTAATCGTCTAATTAGAAGTTCGTCCTGGTAATTTCCTACAATTAATTTTAGCGATGTCACCCGAGGGGGAGCCCATAACCGCAATTAATTGATTTACCGACAAATTAGAAATGGAGGCCTTAGTAATTTTACAATTAACTTTAATTTAAAATTCCTTCTCAAACTTAGTATAATTTAAATGAGGATTTTTACTTATTTAAATATTTATGCAATTCTAAACTAATCCTATGTAAATGCAATAATTAATTAACATGCATAATTAAATATGCAATTCTAAATTACTCCTATGCAAGTACAATAATTAATTAACATGCATAAATAAATAAATAAATAAATAATAGCATAATGAATTTAAATAAATAAATAAATAAATCCACTATTATGGCCATTAAATATTGAGTTCCCATTAACAAGGAAACTTTGTATATTCTTTCCATGTTCAACTGGAACTCCCACTGCAGTAGAATCCTTGTAGATCTTATACTGCTTGGACACCAAGTAAACCTCTCCACCGCCATCACTTGGCGTCGTCGTCGGCCGCCGCCGCCGCCGGTGGTCGGAAAATAATTTTTTTCCTCTCACGCGTGTCCGTGCGCGCCTCCAAGCTTCGTCCCGGTTGGTCTTTCGAGGCTCGTTGATCTCTTGTGATCTCCCGACAATTAATCCAAAATCACAATACAAAAAATATAATTTACAAAAATACATAATCTGATCCTAGATCCAACGAATGGATGTACATGTTTTCTAAACAAAATAATTAAATTTATCCGGTCAACCCCCGGGCGAATAATTATTACAAACATTCATCCATCAAATTCCTCGACATGTCTGAGGCTTTAAAAACAAATTTAAAACCACACATCACATTCATCAACATTCATCAAGCACATAATCGGCCATAATAGTGGATTAAACTAATCCTGCAAAACCGAGTTATGCAAATATAATCCAATATATGGCTGCGTTTGAACCCATCTTGACAAATAAAGCCGTAAAAATTCGAACTTGTACACAACGAATTAAACCAAGCTCTGATACCACTTGTTGGGATCAATGAAGATCTCGTTATGCACAAATCACGAATTCAATAGCAAAACGTAAACCTATGTGCAGCGGATCTAAAGGTTTGCGTAGAGAACTTACGGCTTAAAATTATGGCGATCTAGCTGATCTTCTGGCTGGCCGTACACAACACACCAATGAATTGTTGATGTTTATTATTGATAGTATAATTGGCCGTACACAACACACCAAAAGAATAATTAAATAGTATAATTGATGTTTATTAATTTATAAATTTATATAAATATATTAATAAGTTAATAATATCGAACAGTTTTTACAATCTACTATTACCAAACATTTTCTTAAAGTCGTTGACACAACCAACTGGTCAATATATATCATTATGGATCGAAAAATATATAGTTATCACAATCCATTAATCAAAACAGACATCATAATCCATTAAATACTAAACAAGATCATATCTAAGTTGTAACTCCAAGTTTTCAGCCATGTCTTCAACCAATATGGCAGTATGGAATCTCTCTTAAAGAGCATTTATCTAAATTCAATTGCACCATATTTGATGAGGCATAACACCCACACCCTTCTTTACAATAATAATAACTAGGACACAGACGAGAAATGTATATGACTATGGCAGAAACTTTGGAGACTGCAAATAAAACCAAAGTTGAGGAATTTTGTCTGGAGATGCATTCGCAACTGGGTGGGCACCAAAGTTAGGTGTAGCGGAAAGGGGTGTTAGATAATACTATTTGTTGTTGGTGTGGAGCTGAACCAAATGATTTGGAGCACTTGTTTTTAATTGTTATTGAGCACAAAAGGTGTGGAAGATTGCAGAACTTCAATGGAACAACTTGAATCAACAAAGGACTTCTTAGTGGACATAATAGGGATAAGTTCTATCTCTCAACCTATCTCCTATGATGGATGTGGAGAACAAGGAATGCTTGGATATTTCAAGGGGAGAACCAGAAGTGCAACTTGTTGAAAAAGCAAAGTTAGAGTGGTTGGAGTTTGACAATATCAAGTTTGGTAAAGTGCTCTACAAGGAAAAAGCTGCAAAGATTTCTCCTCTTACTGATTTCAGTGAGAATCAAGGGATAGGGGAGCTTGTTCAAGTTGTCAGTGGTTCTGCATCTCTCTCAATGGTCTGAAAGTGCAAGGCTTTGACAACTCATTGGACCAACTCAAGGGATGCATTTCAAAGGCAACCAGTGGAGGATATTCTGTTGGATATTAGAGCTTGGTTGGTTTGAAGATGGGTTGGGAAAGAGTGATTTTTTCGATGACACATTCTAACGATCTTAGCTAACATATAATGCTGAAGAATTTGTTGTCCCCTTACACCTCTGCAGCTGGGATATTACAACTTTGGTTGATGACATTTTTTCTCTTGTGCATTTTTTGTTAGGGTGGTTCCTTTTGGTTTTGTTTTAGTGCTGTTGTGGACTTGGTTCTTTGTAGTAGATTTAGTGGTTTGCGGCCTCGTTGGTCACTTAGGTTAGCTCGTGTTGAACCTTCCCACTCATTTTCATAGTCTCACTCAGGCTTGATTATGGTCTCGTTGTAACCTTTTGTTATTCGTCTAATACATTTTGATTTTAATTTTATGCATTTGATTTTTGAAAAAAAAAAATAAAAAATAAATAAGTGAGAAATAACCATTTTTGAGTTTAATTTTATGCATTTGATGTTTGAAAAAAAAATAATAAGTGAGTGAGAAATAACCATTTTTCTAGGGCCAGACAGAATAATATACATGTAACTTGAATTCAAAATGACAATAAAACAAGAAAAAAATAACATCACTGAGAAAGTCACTTTCTCGGAGCAAGCCACCAACCAGTAAAAGCAACAAAGAAGAAACTAAAATTCATCAAGCCAACATTCACAAATATGTTACAAAGCATGAAAACCCAAGAAACAGAGGTGAAATCAAATTGGAGACAAACACAACATTTGTTCAGCACAACAAAAACTTCAGAGCTTGGGCCAAACAACAAATGGCTTACCCTTTTCAACAAATGGGTTTTCCTTTCTTACCCTCTCACGAAACGATTGGCCACAAAGGCATTGACTCGTGAGTCTTCAGCTATTTTAAGAGACGAAACTGCCTGAGCCGCAAGATGTCCAGCTGAAAAGCTAACAGAACCCCAAACGTTATCAAAGTATTGAGGGCCAAAGCCTCTGTCAAGATTATTGGCAGGGCCCACCACGTACGAATGCCCCCACAAATTCGACGTTGTCCCATACTGATTACTGTTGGAGATCAGGCCAGCATTTTCGCATGGATATTTCGATAAATTATAAAAATGAGGCTGTCTAGTCCCTGTAATAAAGCCGATGTTGCTCGAGTGATCCCAAGAAGTCAACCCCTCGTCCTTCTTCAGATATACAAAGGAGAACGTAAAGAGAATGAACCGGAGAGAAAGAGAGAGGAAAAAAAGGAAGTTCAATGATATGTCATCTTTAGTCTTAACATAACAAGCTGTATTTGCTCAAAGATTCAACAAATATGGAATACTCAAGAGAAAAATTCTAAAACAATCCGCAATCAACCCTTATTCTGATTCCGTTGTTGAAAGATATAATATTCCCAAACCACATGAGCAGATCTATTTTCTGAAACCAAATAAAACTAAGAAACAATGATATATCCATTTACAGTAACTAAGGGAAGACAATAGGCAATTCATTCTTCCCCCAAACAAATAAATAAAATAAAGTTCTACTTCTGTATATTTCAACTATAAAAGGATCACTTATGGGTAACAGCATACTAATAGCTCATTCAATATGCCAAAAGGGTACATATATCACAAAATATCATGAGTCCAGGTTAGTTATTTGTATGCATGAATATATTTTCTTAAATACCAGGACATTGCATTTTGATCTCTACAAAACCCCAAATAAAGTAATAAACGATGCTTTTCGAGAAGGTAAGGACAGTCTCATACCTTCTCCGAGTAGTCCGAGTCTTCCCCAAGTAGGACTTGCAGTGCAACAGATTCAGCTATTGCGGCACCTTCTTCATCGAGCCTCTCCTGTTCTTCTTTCTTCTTCAGCTTTTTCTTCTCCAGTTCGGAGCGTATGGCTGCAGATGTAGCCAAAGCCTTTTCCAAACGCCTTTTTTTCTTCTCAGCCTGCTTAATTCGATCCAACTCGTCCTTTACCGGCTTTTTTTTGGGTTTTCTAACACCGGCTGTTACCTTAACACACTCCATTATAATTTATATCCACTCGAAAGTTTGAAATTGGAATTCCCTTTTTTGTTGCAAAGGAAAATTTTGTTAAGATGTATGCATTATCTAATTACAGGTATGTCCCCTTCCCCTTCAGTTATCGTAAATTTTGATTCAACACTAACTTAGATGTAAAGTTGGAAACTACTTAAATATGTGAAGCTTATATACCTACACAACCTCGGGTCTAAACGAGTACCTCATTTTTCTAACGCTACATTCCCAAAAAGAAATGACTGGAGACAAAAGAAGTGAAAATTGGTGAAAGGTTAAATATCTGCCACACATCATTCTTCCTAATTTTGCACGAGCCTCGTCACTCGTTTCACATGCACAGAGCAAAAGATTGAATTAAAGACTATCTCAAGGAACTATTCCTTTCTCTTTAAAACAGCTCACATGGCCTTCCTCCTGCAATGCACAAAGAATAAACTAAGTATACATCTAACATGAAGTAGAGCATCATAATTCAAGGCCCGTTCCCACCAGACTCAGATGGAGCTATTATTCAGATACGAAATTCATGCAACACTAACATAAAAAATCATAAAGAATGATTGATTACCATAATAAATACTATTGTACTACAAAACACGAAACGGGAACATAGGCTTCAAAAGAAGCAACAGGCACCATCTTGATGTCGTCGTCTCCAAAGCGGAACACAAGGAAAATAACAAATTGAATAGGAAGATAATATGTCATAATGCTCAAATTTTCAAAACAATGCCAATAAAATAAAATAAAAGGTACTCAGGCAGCAATTGAATCATCAAAGCCTTAAAAGAAAGACTCGATTCCCAAATAAAACCACAGTTCATACTGATTTGGCTGTTCTTTATTTCTTAAACCTGAGATTAATACTGTTAGAACAAAAAGATAACTGAGGATTTAACTTCAGATACAAAATCAACGACTCAGGCTAACAAGTTGTCCCAGAATCTCAGATCCGACAATCATACACACAACTGAATTAATGAAATAACTGATTCGCCAAAAACCCTCAATAATCGAACATACGATCTACTCGACAAACAAGCCCAAACCTCAATCCCAACAAAAGAATCAATCTTCTTTACCTTTCTTCCAGATCACATCACATCACAAATTTCACGAAACTTATCCACAAACATATATTCAATTAAATTCATAAACAATCGAGATCAAAGTGTTATTAGAGATACTCGAGTGAATTAGACAAACCTGTAAAAGATGTGGATAAATATAACAAGAAGAAAGGAAGATGATTGTATTTGACTGCTGGTAGTGTTTTTGGATCTGTAAATTAATCAATGTGCGCTGCGAGTGGAGAAATTAAAAAAATAGGAATATCAATAGAAATTGGACACGTCAAGAGGGCTGAACAGCGATTTCGTTGCGCTTTCTAGGTGGTACTCTTGGATATAAATGTTGGCTGCATCGAATATTTTAATATTTTAAATATAAATAAATAATATATCAATCAATTATCTTCAAAAAATTACATTAATTTTAATACATCATTTATGCATTCATATTCATATAATTTTAACTGCACGTCACTTACAATTAGGGTTGAGCATGAGACTCGGAGAATTCTGAACCTTTCCGAAAACCAAACCGAAATCACTCCGAACCGAAAAATAACCGTTGAGCATTTGACTTTTTTCGAACCGAACCGAACCGAATCGAAAAAATAATTGGTACGGTTCTAGAAATTTCACAAAATATCCGTAGCGAGAACCGAACCGAACCGAACCGTCTCATACCGTACCGAACCAAGGAACCGAAATTAAGTACCGATTTATAACATTAGATGTGTTATTAATATATTTTATGTCAACTTTGATCCTATATAATATAGTAATAACTATTATTAACCTTCACTTAATTTTCATGCTTAGTAATTCTTGATCTACAATTGAATTTTTTCTATTATAAAATAATTATTTAAAATAACATGAAGGTTAAAGAAAATTTTTTTAAGAAAAAAATATTATATTTTGTTTGAATTTTAAATTTTCAATATTAGTTGCACAAATTTAGTCTTAACTAAAATTTAGAGTTACTTCTACAAATGATTTCAAAATAAAATCTTTAATATGAGGAAGTATTGATGAATGTTGGTTTTATTAAAGCATATAAAAATTAAATAACTAAAATTTAGAGTTATTTCTAAGATTAATTTCAAAATAAAATTTTCAGTATGATGAATTATTGATGAATGTTGTTTTTTCAAAGCATATAAACATTAAAATATAACTAAGTAGTCACTCAAAAAAAATTTTAAAAAAAATAAGAAATATCCAAAGATACGAACCAAACCATACCGAACCGAACCGTCCCAATAGTCTCGAATACCAAACCGAAAAATAAAAATTACCGAATCGAACTGAACCGAATATTTGGTACAGTTCTGGAGATTGAATTTTGAGATCTCCGAATCTTGGTACGGTTCCGGAGATTTATCAATCTTCGAACCGTACCGACTCACGCTCACCCCTACTTACAATCACATCTATCATATTTTTGCATCAAATCAACTTTAAATATTTTATTTTAAATATTATTTTAATACATACTTAAAATCCAGTTAAAAAATAATACAACAAACTTTTTCAAAATTAACTTTGGTTATTTTGAAACCAAAGTTTTTCAAAATTAACTTTGCCACCAAGAGACTGCTCGTTTCTGAAACTGAATACAATGTTTGGATGGTCATTATGCCAAAGCAAGCCCAAGACGTACCACGATTTTTTTATGTTGGCCCAACATCATGTAAATGCCGAAGAATAAATGTTCGTCCCATCATTCGGAGCGATGGACGAAAACGTACCGAAAGTCAAGGAAACCAAGCTGCACCGGGATCCTCTAAATGAAGTTGTGTTAGTGTATATACTGAAAGTTTGCCTTTGGACATTATGTACACTATTTCTGTCAAATGAGAATCATGTTTGATTAAATAAGTATTATGTTCTATTGTTTTGCACTTAGATAAAATGGTTCATTAGTGGGTGATCATTTTATTTTTTACTTGTAAAACAAGAATGATTGTTCACAGCCTAGATAGAAATGAACAAACCATCAACAAAAGTTGCAGTGTCAGTCGTACAGTTGATCTTGACTTATTAGTTGAACTAGTACATTTATGTATTGAACAAGATCACAGAGAAGAACAATTTGTTTTATATTGATCGTCGTAAACGAACTAGGTCTCGGTTAATTATTGCGTTCTCTTAACACGTAAGATATAAATAGGCATGTGCATGAAGTAGCTATTACTTTGATTCACCAAAAGCGAGGTTCATTTTGATGGGTTAATAGTCTTCGTGTTTTTGGTAATAGTATTGCATGTATGATGTGCTTTTAGAATATTTTCGGTCACCATGCGCATTAGTTTGATGATGTCCCCGAAGTGAGCTCATGAAAGATTATTATGTTACACCTGCAGGTAGAATAAGTTCCGACATAATAATAAGGATTTGAGTGGTGCTAGCTTCGATTCAAGATGTCAATTAATTCTTGATTGTCAGTTATCGAATTAATTGACAGACATTATATCTTAAACATTAGGGGGTAATTCGTGTAATTATTATCTGAGTCTCGAATATAATTCGGGGATGATAAGGTAGTACAATAGTGTTTCGTTAGTGGACCGAAACATTATTTAACTGATTGGACCAAGTGGGCTTGACCCACAGTAGGGCCCAGTAACTTAAGAAGCCCACATCATCACCTCCTTAGCGTCCATGCTATAGCCCAATAAATACACCATTAAGCTCATGGGATTAAACATAACTCTCATGCCTCACGCATACACGTTCGGCCACCCCCTCATATATCCCGAGCTTTATCTTCAGTTTTGTTGCTCCACCGAGACACCGAGAGAGGTGTTGGGTAATATAGCAGGATATCCAGAGGTACCGAGATCCCGAGATCAACCAACGACCACGCGAGCCCCAACGATCACCACGCAAGACTCGACGACCACCGCGAGCCCGCGTTCCAGTCGTGCGTGACCAGAAAGCCCCGACGATTCACGCGAGCACCCAGACCAGAAATCCCTGATGATTCACGTGTGCCAGATGTTCTTCCTAAGACTAGGAACAAAGGCATAAAGGTGGTATCACCCCCTACTCCCCCATTCGATTCAAAGTTGCAGGGACGGATCTAGCAAATATAGTGAGCGGGGGCCTAACTATATAATTAAGAATATAACAAATTTAATGAAAAGGACAAATGCAAAAAGGGTCAAAGCTCTTATCAACAATATAGTTCTGCAACTGATCCTCAAGAATGAGAACATCGAATATAGAAAAGTCTTGAAGATAAAACCTGATCATCTTGACTAATTTTCGCATTGATATCAAATTTCTCGTATTACATTCTTTCTGCCCAAAGATACTAAATTTTCCTCAAATCTAATTGGATTCAATGTATCTTCTTTTGAGATATTTTCAAAGGATTTTGTTGACATGAGCTTTTTTAAAAATATCTCTCAATGTCTGATATGCAAAAATAATATTATAAATTTACAGTAAATGAAATTCTCTATTTTGACATATTACACTTTAAATAGTTGTAAACCTAAAAAGCGCTTGAATGTGCAATTTTTCCATAAATTGGATATATTTACCACTATCTAAAAAATAAAGAAGAGTAATTTTTATCTTTACTAAAATAAACAGAAAGAATTTTGTTATCTTATAAGTAATCTTCCTGTACAGCTGGACCAAAATTGACGAACTCTTTGACTTTTTCCTTCTCTTCTTATTTTCCCCTCTTTTTGTTTCGCTCTGTATTTGTCTGCTTGATCTCTGCACTCTTTTCTCTTGTTTAATTATTGTGTTAAATGATTTATCAATTTATTATGTTAAGCTTATTTATTGGTCTCATATGGGCTAATAGTAATACAAGGAGTTTAGTCTTTGTGAGTTGGACAATTTTTATAGGGCTCATAATACAAGGAGTTTAGTCTTTGTGAGTTGGAAAATTTTTATTAG